TCATCTCGATTCGCTTCATCAAACAAAATAAAACGTGGTTCATAAACGATTGAACATATGCTCAAATTATAAGGAGCGTCTTGCCAACGGATGTGACTTCGAATCCAGTTCCTCTGTAGATCAGTGTCAGTATGTACCAGTGACGTTGTATGCGTTTCATTATCTATATATTAATACGTGAAGCAAAAACTTTGTATCCCTCTTTACGAAAATCGCGCGGACGGAGGAGTATGAAATTTTCCACACTTATAGAGAATATATAGAAGAAGTGCACAATGCTAATATTTTTTTTAAAATAATGCATAAAAGATACATTAAATCAATAAAGAAAACATTACACACACTACATACCATGTATTTGACGCACACACGCATGCATACTATTTATTGTCAAACTTTTGTTCTTGACGTCTGTTGTCAAAATAGAATATGGTTTGTCTTTGTTAATATTTTTATAGTGTAGTCTTGACGAAATTTGTGATTATAGAAGTATAAAATACAATCATAATAGTGTACAAACTTACAATTCCAATTAATTATAGTCGAATTTCGATTACTGCGGGACCTCTACTATGTGGAAATAAATAGAAAACAAAATAAGTAATAGTTGCACACGCGTAGAATGACGTTTTTTATTTGATATATAAAATTCACCCCTCGTTCAAAATTGTCTACCTGTCTTTGACATACATCACTCGCACACGTGTGCATTGGAGCTTTATTGATTTATTTCACAATAAGAAATGGACTTTCAACTATGTTTTTTGTATATTGCTCTACTATACATGTGCTCATGGTTGTCTTATATTAATTGGTTACTTAAGTTCGTCTTCATTGCGTCGGATAGTGGCATATTTATTATCCGATTGTTAAAATCAGGTTAATTAAATACATATTTTTGTAGATTATTATATACAACAAATTAAGGAGCGGACGGTTAGCATGGTATGGACATGTGATGCGTAGAGAGAAGATGCATGTGACTAGGAGATGTATGGAAATGGTAGTGCAAGGTAGAGGGGGAAGAGGTCGACTGAAGAAGACATGGATGGAGTGTGTGAATGATGATATGAGAGAGAGAGGAGTGAGTGTTGAGATGACGGCTGATAGAAGAGAATGGAAGAGAAAAATTAGCTGTGCCGACCCCACCTAGTGGGATAAGGTGGAGAAAAAAAAAGAAGAAGATGTCTCTATTTTTTATAACGTCAATGTAAAATGAGTGATTGTTTGCGCTTCCGAAAACAGCGTCACGGCTGGTTGTCTCAAGGTGAAATTCTCGTCGATTAAGCATGTTAGTTAAGCTATGAACACGAAGAAGAACAAAAGGTATCTTTTTATTCAATTTTGAGACCAAAATTCCTCTATGATATGGAAAAATAAGTAAATTTGAAATCGCTCTAAGATTTCTTTCTTTCGAATAAAATACACGTGCAATAGGGTGATTTTTTATCATCCAAGACACTGTTTCGGTGAGGTCACTAGTTCCTGATTTAAGGGTCGTATGCCATAGAAGTTTCAAAGTAGACGTTATCATCCTTCACGTTCTAGCGTCTATGGGATCCGGAGACTACCTAATTAGATCAGCTTTAAAATCGTGTTATTCAATAGGAATAAAATATAAAAGCGATTTGACGAAGATTATGGTCGAGGTTTCCCTGAGCTATGAATAAGATGATAAGCAGAAGAATCCCGATAAAGCCCATTGTGAGGTTGACGTGGCAATGGGCAGTATATTGCTTGTTGCCTTTAAGGCCAAAAAGTTCTCGAGTGATGATGGCGCATTTGAAGACACAGGAAACCCTCATATATAGCCCACTGAGTTTCTCGGTGGATCTTCTCAGTGGGTCACGTTTCCGATCCAGTGGTAAATTCTGCGAAGCATTGCTCCTGCCAGGGCAACAACTTTACCAAGCTATAGCCCCGTGAGCTCATCTACCCGTTTGGTGAATCTAGCATGACACCGTGAGGTCACTAGAATAGGTAGAAAACAAAGGAAGACGCAGTATAAAGAAGGCTTTTTAAAAGGTGAACGACAACTTTGAAATTGAAGTTGGTGGGAATTTCCTGGGCGTGAGCACTGCAGGACTGTTTTTCTTTGTGAAACTTGGGAGACGCCTCTGTCCAACAGTGAATGCCGGGAAGCTGATGATAATGATAAAAAATTGGCACATGTTTGCCGTATTTGGACGCCTGGCATAGTCATATCGCTCAATACCGAACTTCCTATTCTTTAGGCCGTGGTGACTACAAGCTTTTGATAGCTTTAGACGACGGACTCCTTTGCCAAAATTATACGTAAAATTAAATACAACAACAAAGTCGAAATGTGGTGAACTAGAAATAATGTATTTAATAATAAACCGTTGCTGGGCAACGCCCTTTTGCAAGTAGTGGTGGCCAGTAAAAAAAGACGTTAACACAATTTTTGTTTTAAAATCTAGTAGCATGATATTCCAAAAATGAAAAACAGCAAGGAATATTAAGTTATGAATAAATTTCGATAACCAAGTAATGGAATAAAGTTCTGCTTTGTATATTTATATACTAATTAAATACGGATTGCTTTTCTGGCCGATCTTTAATTATACTTTATATATACTAGTTATACACTGGTCGCTTCTCTGACCGGTCTTTGATTTTATTTTAATTCGATTACTGCAATATACCTACAGAGTACTTACCCCGCTAGGCGAATCTGATCATCATCATTATCCTGCCCTTCTCCCAGTCACCTGGGGTCGGCGCAACATGTTTTCTCCTTCCATACTCTTCTATCATATACCATTTCTTCGCTCACTCCCCTCCTACCCATATCGTCTTTCACACAATTCGTCCATTTCTTCTTAGGTCTACCTCTTCCTCTAAATCCTTGCACATTCATAGTTAACACTCTCTTAACAACCTCATTTTCATTTCGTCTCATCACATGTCCATACCATCCCAAACGTGCACTCCTCAGCTTCTCTGTCCCGCTAGGCGAATCTGATGATTTCTTCTAAATTGCATCGGTTTAACACTCGTGGACCTTTATATGTATAAATATACAGCGTTCCTTCGTGATTACAAAAACTATAATACAATAAGAGCAAATGAAATGTGAAACCTAAGGAAATCGTTTTCCGTCGTACTATGAGTATTTTATTTGAAAGAGAAATTCAAGTCCCGTACGAAGTAACGCTTGCATTACGCGCAAAACAAGGGACCTCAAGTAGGTACTGTGTTTACGTTTTGCATAAAAACACATACGGTTCGGCGATTACTTTATCGGTGCCAGTGGTACGAAGAAAACGTGTGATCCCGTTTTGAGGCGTACTTAACCTCGATTTGTATTTTCTTAAATTTTTTGGTCCGTATTGTGGACACGAGAAAAATCTTTTCAGGTTAGTGGTTTTGTTCTCGACAGAGAAGTTTGCGGATCACGGGGTGTTAAGTGGATACTGGAGCCTGTAGACATGGCTATGATATTGCAGAGAGATATAACCTGTAGGCATGGTAATGCAGCCAAAGTGGATCTTGAACAACAAATGCATAGCGAATGTCTAGTCCATGAAAATGAAATGTAAGTCTGCTTGACTATAGTAAGAGGCAGGACAGCAGTGCTAGCTTATGTGTTTTTTTCTTACCTAAGCTGATAGCCTTGAGAGGCTATGTTAGCGTAACCGGGTAGGTGAGCTCACGGGGCTCAAACCTGACGTTCTTGCTAACACGAACTCTAGGAAGAGCCGTGCTTCGCAGATAACTTATGCTGAATCACTTAAAAGCCTATGTCAGTTTATTTTAGAACTAATGTCGTTTAAAAATCACACTCAAAATTTACTGTAAAAGTTATTGATATTTACGCAGCATTTGTCTACGGCTTTCACAAAAGTACTTAGATTTATCGCTTTGTCTTTAATTTTACTATCTATAATAAAGGGTTGCATCAAATATCATCTATTTGAAATCTTTTAGCTATATCAAAAATTTTAAACACAATGCTAACGCCATCTATTGGCAGCATTGTTCAACTAAAGTAGCTATCTTAAATCTCCGGTCCCTATTTCTTCCTAGTGCATGTTCGATAAAATATTCATTTGGTTCTACCCTTAGAAAATATCACTACAAGTTCCTTATTCATTTCAATTTAAACGTCCCCCCAGTATTCCCTGACGGCGACTTCCTCTCTATTGTGTCGCCCTTCGATCTATTCATAGAATACGCTTTCTTGCATTGATTGGTGCGCAATGAACGTCAGGATTCTACGCTTGTTTAGTTTTGAATACCACATGAAATTTTCTTTATCAAGATGTTTATGCTTAGTTGATTAAGGTTACGTCTTTTTGATTTTGGGGAGCGGACATATTTTTTTTGTATCGTTTTCTTCTTAATCGAGATCGCGATTCAATAGTGCGCGTTCTAAGCGTTTTTTATTTATTTATCAAAGCGTTTATATCTTGTTTAACATCTCGTCTATTATACAGTTTTATTTGTATTTCGTGCTATGTTTTGTGGTTGAAGACGAGTATACAGCCCGTCTAAGTTTGAGGGGTTTACGTCAAGTATGCACATCCCGGACAGCCAAAACAGAATCAATAGGTCAGGAAATTTTACATGGAAATATCATCAGTAAGCCTTAAATAGATTGTAGACGAACTAGAATCTTGAGATAGATTCGAGAACATCAACATAACATTACAATTTTATAATGTCATCACGTAAATGACACGTATGTCTAAGGTAGTTTTTTTTAAAGTATACCAAATTAATGTATACTCGCATGATATTTTTCTTTTATTGCACATAGTGTACGAACTCACAGCTCACCTGGCGTTAAATGGTAACCAGAACCCATAGACATCTACATGTAAATGCCGCCAACCACCTTGAGATATGAGTTCTAAGGTCTCAGTTACAAAGGCTGCCCCACCCTTCAACGTTCACGGCTGAAATAGGAAATGAGTATTTTATTTACATAGTGAATTCTTATACTTTGAGTGTTTAATTATTTTGTTTCTTTACAGCCCGTAGGCATCTACCGTGGTAAATATGAGTGGGCAAACGAGAACAGTCCCGTCGGGGGAGACTGCTCGCTTTGGGTACGCGCTGCGACACTTCAGCTTGATGATGGTCAATGGCAGTGTCAAGTTACTGCCAGTAATTATGACGTGCAGGTAATTATTTTACCATATAAACATAGCATTAAGACGATTAGTTTCATTCGACAATAAAGCCAAAGTTGTAATATTTTGGTTCAATCTCTGTCTTGTACCGCGTGCGGGAGCGCTCTGAGGATGTATTCATGATGATTCCATGATTATGGGTAACATCGGATCAGAGTACATCGTTACTACCTTGAACCGTTGCGTTCGTAAGCAGTGTGATTCCAGGACGATCACTTTACCACACATCATTCAGCTCTGGTATGAACTTCCTTGATGGTATTTCTTGAGTGCTATGTTCTTTTTTTAACGAGGTTTAATAGAAAGCCTTGTACAGACGCAACGATTGAGCCCCTGGCGTTGAGTGCTGCCACGGACGGAAACTTATTTAGTCTTACGTATTTTCGTCCGAAACAGTGTGCTTAGAGCGTTTTTTTTAACGTTCTCGATCGCGTAAAAGTTAACTCAAATTTTGAATGCCGTTGGGCCCAAAACACGTTATTTCCGATCCTCTCGATCCACTAACGGTGCTTTTAGGTACCCCAAGCACCGGTAATTGTTCTCGTCAAACCCGTCGCTTGCGACGAAAGGCTCGGCGAGTAAATTAACCCACAGACAAAGCCCACTGAGTTTCTCGCCGGATCTTCTCAGTGGGTCGCGTTTCCGATCCGGTGGTAGATTCTGCGAAGCTCGGCTCTTGCTAGGGTTCGTGTTAGCAGCAACGTCAGGTTTGAGCCCCGTGAGCTCACCTACTCGCCCGGTGATGCTGATATGGTCTCTCAAGTTCATCAGCTTAGGTAGGAAAAAAATGCTGTTGGTACAGCACCCCTAGCGGCAAACGTAGGCAAACGCTCTAACTCCATACAATCTTGAGTTAACTTTTACGCAATCGAGAACGATAAAAAACTCACACTAAGCACACAGGTGGCAATAAAATGAAAACTATCGATTATTCATTTGCGCTGTAACCGCGCTGTTAAAGTTGTTGTATAAAAAGGCTACTTGTGAGATTTCTGGAAACTTTTTCACTATTATTTCACCTTTTATAACCAACATTTTCCGACGTGCAGCTGGAACATTGTTTATTTCTACAAATAGTAACCAAACTTCTGGGTTAGTATCATGAAAAGTTTCGTTCAAACATTCCAGGACGCCTTATCAAGTCCACCAGCTCCTTTAGCAGTTCGAGTGCCTCCACAGTCTCCGAGGATCCTATTCAACGGCTCCCACGTGCTACCAGGCCAAAATATCACAGTCCCAGCGGGGTCCAGGGCGACAGTCGTCTGTGAAGCCAGATACGGCAATCCACCTGCATATATCGAGTGGTATTTAGGTACGATTTTCTTATTAGTTTTAATCAAATGAGGCACTTTTTTATGGCCTAGAGATGGATGAACGAGTTCACGATCCACATCATGATCCATGGTGTAAAGTGGCTACCGGAGCCCACAGGTATCAACAGCCTAAATTGACGCATTCAGACACGAGTTCGAAGTTTGAGCTCTAGTTTGAACGCGTTTGAATGCAACATTCACACCTAATACATTGAATTCTCTAACTGCCAACAGCAAAGGATTACGTTCATACTTGATCTTACTAGTAATCCAGACTGTTAGTACTGTGATGAGGAAGAGACACTGTGTGACTGTTACGCCTTGCTTGGCTAAGGGTACTTAATTCTTGCAGAGCAAATTCTTCGTCTAGAGAATCGGAATAAAATATGCCCATGAAAGTAATCTAGGCTATGTTATGGTCTGGACAAAGGAATCTACTACTCAGGGGAAGTCACAACCAATGTGCAATACATAAATATCTGGTTGGGTTATTATGATTGCAAAATGAAATAAACGAACTCATGTTTCTTTAATCGTACAATCGGTCTTGCAATTCATTTTACTACTATGACGAGTTGCTTTTGGATTACAAGTATCATTTACACTGCTCATAGAATAGGCCTAGGTTTTTTAGCCCGCGACTGGGCTTGAGCTGATTGCTGGTTTCGAAAAATTAGTAAGGTTCCCGACAGTTCTAAATAGGAATATGTTAGTGATAGGGTGAATTAAAGGGTAATTACCATCATTCTGCCTCTGGTTTTTTTTTATTGCTTAAATAGGTGGATGAGCTCACAGCCCGCCCTGTGTTAAGTGGTTACTGGAGCCCATAGACAGCGTAAATGCGCCACCCACCTTGAGATATCAATTCTAAGGTCTCAGTATAGTTACAACGGCTGCCCCACCCTTCAAACCGAAACGCATTAATGCTTCACGGCAGAAATAGCCGAGGTGGTGGTACCTACCCGCGTGGGCTCACAAGAGGTCCTACCGCCAGTAAATGGATGCAAGGAATACTATCAGTCCTGATCGTTGTATAGGTAATGCTAAAAGCTATATACCAATAAAACGAAGAAGTAGCTCTTATTCAAGATGGTAAATCGAAATTTCCAGAAAAGGAACGCCTCACAGCTTGGAGTCAAACCAATGCTTCAGAAGTGGAGCGACCTCGGGTTTGGGCGGCAAGATCCGTGTTGGAACTCGGAGCGACGCGTTCGGCTCACGGCCGGACTTTGGCTTGTAGGGCGCATCACCCTTCATACCCGGCGCCGTACTACCGGGACTCCTACACGATGCTGGATGTCACTTGTGAGTTTCATATCTTTAGGGATATTATTACTTCACGACACTTCACGTATTATTGACTGCTGTGACTGACGAGAAATGAGGTTATCCGTCTACGGAATAGAACAAATCTTGGGAAGACGATGAAGTTAATTGTATCGAAAGAAGTGTTCCAAAATTCAGTATATATTACTATATTGTTTAACTGTTCAGGCATCCACATAAAATCTATTCAAATTTATTTATTTATTTACTACAAGGAGAACCAACAGCCAATTAACATAGTATAATAATGTAACAAATTATAGAAACAAAAAGCCAATTAAAGGTCCTCACCAATATAAACAAGTTAAAACATTAGAGAAACAAAGAAATTAAAAACAATCAGCAAGCAAGAAACAACATAAGTAAAGGAGGAATACACCAGACTAATTTAAATGTACACTTATAATATACATAGAAATGTCACAAATTAATAAAATGACTCTCTTTATATTTATGTATATACAAATTTTCGCTCACTTTAGCATTTATCCACTATTAAATTCATTTTACTATCAGAAGTCAGTGGAAAATGTTTCGCGGATTGATGTCAATCTACCCTATTTACAAAATCTTGCCTAATACCTCATCGATTTTGAGTACTTAATTCCCATAAGTCATCTGTTTTTTTTCCTTTGATTCCAGATGCTCCTGTGGTTTCCATAAACGGCGCCGACGCGAGCACCCTGGCCAATCTGGAGGAAGGTTCCAGTGCTCTATCTCTGGAGTGCAGGGCCAACGGGAACCCTAGCCCTTACGTGTGGTGGACTAGGAACGGACAAGTCATACCCACAAATGGCCCAAAACTGATCCTGGCTCCTATAGTCAGGAATCATTCAGGTAAAAAACCAAACTATGAGGCGGTGGTGTGTGACGGGTCAGTGATACCTGTACATTGGCGCGGAGCGGTCGTGTGCTCAGTTACGAAGGGGGAAATAATCTTTATACTGAGTCAATTGAAACTTAATTAGGTGACCATATATTGTTTTCTGATTTAACTAGTTGTGGTATCGAAGACAAACTGGACTCTCTCGGTTAGTCATATGCACTCATCAATCAGTCTTACCAGTCGTAGCCGTTGTGAATTCTGGCCACAAAGGAGTTACAGTGGCGGGAGGTGGGTCAGGCAGCAATATACTCTTACCAACATCTATATGAATAGGCAAAGACCGAAAATTGTCTCGTCTGTTTGTTGAACTGATTTTTTTTAGCTCAGTGTTATCAATAAAATTTATATAACAGTTGATTTTTTATTTCAAATCAACTATACATGCCATTGACTAAATTGAACCGAATACCTTATATGAATCTGTGATGCAAGATTGCTTTGCAGCAGAAAATGGAGGAAGGGTGGTAACTACCTGTACGAACTATAATACCTTTCATCGCCATCTAAAATTTAACAAGTAACATGTGACAGCATGTCATTGTCATTGACAGGTATCTATGGATGCCAAGCCCGAAATTCCGCCGGGACCTCCGACTCGGTGAAAATTGAAATTGATGTTAAATGTAAGTACTTATACAATATTTTTTTCTTCTATCAAATTACTATGTAAGGTATTTGTTGTCTTCGTGGCCTGAAGCCTGTACAGTGGATGTCAGATTTTAAGCTAGAAGGTAAAACTGCTTCGTGGTAGCAACAGTCTAGACTGTTGTACCTACCCGTGGCGGACTAACATTTAGCAGTGGTATCATTGATTTTGAGTGTCAATGGTTATGGTCGAAATTCGATCACCGAACACTAGGGAGTAACAAAATATATGACTTTTCAGATCCACCTCGGGTCACTTGGGTCGGGCCGGACACAGTGGTGGAAGCCAATCTCTTCTCGCAAATCACTTTGGAGTGCAAAGCCGAGGGGAACCCGCTACCTTCTTACCAGTGGTACCACAGGTGAGCCATCTGCTGATTTCATATTCATCTGCGTCGGATACATTCCACATTCAGGGTTTCATGTTCCCAACTCAGAGTCATCTCAGTATAGTTATATAGTCATCTCAACAGTCAGTATAATTCTAATCATCAACTTGGGAATCAAAGCATTGTGCTGTTAAAAAAAAATCGACCCGAAGTTTTAAGATTTTGCGGGTTGACTCATTCATCTGCTTCTCTATTAGAAAACAAATCACCTGACCTTATAAAAACTAAAAAAAAACCGATTCTAAATTGAGTGTTATTGAAAATATTCCGCCACTGGAACGATAACCAAGGTTATTTTGCATCACTTGCCATGAGGGGCCATCTATAAGTTACTTCACACGCATTTTAGGACTTTTGAACCCCTCCCCCCGTCCTTGTCACAGGTTGTCACCCCCCCTGATGTGACGTCACACATTTTTTCAATTTATGCTTGTAAGTTAAAATGGCGTTGCATGAGAGTTAATCTCGTACCGATAATGCTAAATTATTAATAAACATAGTTCAAGTTCGTAGATTTTTAAAGTTTTTTGACGTTACAAAACTATTGAACCCCCACGCCCCTTGTCACAGTGTGTCACATTTCCGTGATACCCCCCGTCCCCATCAATGTGTGACGTATTTTATGGATGACCCCTAAGTCCGTGCTAAGTCTCCCGACTTAACAGTGACGTCATCCCTGTTCCTAGCCCGGGGGGCGCGGCCCGCATCAACGACGCGCAGGAGGAGGGCGTCCCCGTGTCCTCCACGCCGCAGCTGCAGCTGCACAACGTGTCGTACGCGCAGCACGGCCGCTACACCTGCGTCGCCTCCAACCGCATCGGCCTTCAGGATAGGTCAGCCTTCATCAAACATAACTAACGTCTATATTCACTAAATGCAAGACCAGAGCTATGACTACTTCGACTTCATCGTTCGGTATTTTACAATGGTCATCGCTGTAAATCTAGACTGCACAACAAAAGGCGCGTAAAATAAAACGATTCCACTATTGTACTTATATTGTTCTCTTCCAAAATCTTCTCTGTTATTATAATTCAAAATTAACTGACACCTTTTTTACGCCTTACTCATTCAAACGTCTTCACCATCTTTATTTTCACTGTCATTCTGTTTTCCCTTTCTTCCCCTTTTCTCTCACTCACATTTTAATGCTCCGTCCCACACACTTTTCATACGTTGCGCTCTTGCCAACCCTACATTATTATTACCAACCGGGTCCTCTAACCAACAACAGTCCGTTCTTACTAATCCTACATTATTATTACCAGTTGGGTCTCTAACCGTCTACAACAGTGATAATTGGGATGTGTCAGGAGGCACCAGTCGGAGGCGATCCGCGTGAACGTGCTGGGTCCGCCGGTGGGGGAGGCGCGGGGGGCGGCGCACGCGTGGCGGGGGGCCGCCGTCCGCCTGCACGCCGCCCTGTGCGCCGACCCGCCGCCGCGCCGCGCCGTCTGGACCTGGGGCAGTCTGCGCCTCGACGTGCCCGGGGAACTAGGTACGCTCTGCTGGTCCTTACTGACGCATCATGTTCTAGGACACAGCGTGTAATGTCACCATTATTAAAGAGAATATTTACTGCCTTAACTTCCAGTCCAGTTAAGTACGCATTTCATTAGAAAAAATGGTATTGGCTTGCGGGATTCGAATCCCGACACAGTTGCATCACTTGTACGAATGGACTGAGCGTCTTATCCTTTAGGCCACCACGACTTAGATGTCTGTTTGTTTGTTCAGAATTCGAAGAAAAAAAATGAGTATTAAAAAAAATGGTGCCCATGCAATTTGGTGCGCGTGAAAGAAGTGAAACTTCTATTGCAGTGTATAATATTGTGCTTTTCGTCATTTTTTATCCTTATATCAAATTTCTTATGTAATAAGGAATCCTGTGTATAAGGACAAACGACCTAGCTCGCTTTGTCCTTTCCCTCTCTACGGTTGAGTGGTTCGCGAGACGCTCTATCTATTTTCTCACTCTGGCTCGTCCTAAATTGTATCTTTTCTCTCTAGCTGTAACGAATCTGTCGCGTGTTAAATTTTACTCTCAACGCGCCTAAAGAAGTTTCACTTCAAAACATATAGCTAAAGCTAGAAAGTCAATGGTCTAAAAAAAACACAGAGAAAATAATTTACCACTTAACTGTTTTGTTTTTGCTTATTATTATTTATATGTTCACATTCGTAACCACATTATCTAGTCGTAGGGTGTAGGGTATTAAATTACAATATTTTCAAAAAAGTTAATGTAACTTGGAAAAAAAAAGAGCTGGATGTTTTTTTATTATTTTGCTATGGGTAGTTATTGACTCGACCATACACCGGTACCGGCTTATCGTTGAATTTTGGGACACGTTGTATATATAGATAAACAGTAAGTTTTTTTTTTATTGCTTAGATAGGTGGACGAGCTTACAGCCCACCTGGTGTTAAGTGGTTACTGGAGCCCATAGAAATCTACGACGTAAATGCGCCACCCACCTTTAGATATCAGTTCTAAAGTCTCAAGTATAGTTACAACGGCTGCCCCAGCCTTCAAACCGAAACGCATTACTGCTTCACGGCAGAAATAGTCAGGGTGGTGGTACCCAACCGCGCGGACTCACAAGAAATCCTACCACCAGTAAAGTGTAATAAAAAAAAACCGCATATCGTTCAAGGTCGTTTTAGTTCGCTGGAACCGTCTTCCGAGAACGGCTGCTACCGGTACACGCTGCTCGTGTCCAATGTGGCGCCGGACGACGCCCGGGCCTACGTGCTGCGCGTCGAGAACGAGCGCGGCTCCTCCACGCACGCCGTGGCGCTCACGGTGCACGGTGAGCACGCGCGCTTGTACCTCTCTACGCTGTTAACGCGCTGAGTCTCTCGCCGGATCTGCTCAGTGGGTCGCGATTCCGATCCGGTGGTAGATTCAGCGAAGCACTCAAAATCAAAATCCTAAAAAACATTTTTATTCAACACTAGCTGACCTCGTAGTGCCGCAATCGATAAATAAAATACCTAAACTTTTGTATAAAATAAACTTATAACAAACAAAAGGAATCCGTCCCGTCCGACGAGGGGGTGGGGACACGTCAAAGGAAAAACAAAATTGTTATTTTAATTCCGAGCATTTTCATGTTTATCTACCTTTTAAACCTCCTCTGGACTTCCACAAACAATTCAAGACCAAAATTAGCCAAATCGGTCCAGCCGTTCTCGAGTTTTAGCGAGACTAACGAACAGCAATTCCTTTTTATATATATAATATAATATATATATATAATATTTTATATATATTTTATATATATAAATGAAAGTACATACTTGGTGAACGTCAAAAAGAACTAACGCCAATTCACAAAAACTAGCCTCCGTCCTGAGAAGAACTGGCAGGAAACTCAGCGGGCATGTCTTTTTTTTTTAATATTAGGTTTTAGACTTAATAGATATTAGACTGCTCTTGCTAGGGCTAGTGTTAATTTTTAACTGATTTTAATTTTTTACTAATTTTCTCTTAATATTAATAATTCATTGATATGAGTCAACTGTAAGAGAGAGATAGAGAGACAGAGAGACAGAAAAGTCAATATATCCTAAATGTCTCACTCAGTCTCATGCGCGTGGATAATGCCCTCGCGCTCTTACCCACAGAGGTATTAAATTGAATTTAGGGAATGATTGGCCCTTTAAAGCGTCTGCAGGCGGAAAATGTCTGGGAGTACTGGCGACTTATTTTTAAGGATATTGCCTAAAATATACGTAAAAATCAGCTTTCAGAAAATACGTGGAGTAGGTCATGATTTTATGTACTTTGAGTACCTGATACCTGAAAATTGGCCGTCTAAGCAAGATAGCAGGTAGACATGCGTTCTTAGTATATACTAACACTACGCAATCGGCCACATTTACGGGATCACGTACTGGGATCCTACTCTATTAGAGCCTTTCAGCCCTCATTAAAATAATTTAAATATTGGCGGAAGGCAAGCGATGCTAAGGAATGACGTCACGCGACAGTAGGCGCCAGAGCGAGATAAATGACAAAATGGCCGACGACGACGCATTCGTATTGTCGTTACATTCTTATCTAAAAAAAGACCTGTCTCATTATTTTTTTATTAACACGACGTTTAATAATATTAATTTATGATTGTAATATTATCAGAGGTTTTTTTTTGTATATCCAGAATTTAAAATCAAGTAATAAACAAATTACATTTCCCCTACTTATTGATATTGATTCAATTTCGTTTGTCAGTTGATTTGTGCTACACAATTCGGTGCGTGTATAAAACTCTTACGTTTTGTTTACGCAGATAATTTTTCGCTAACAGAGACGTCGCACGCGGCCCCGCTCGCGGCCGCCGCGCTGGTCTCCGCGGCGCTGCTGGTGCTCGTGCTGTGCCTCGTCGTCAGGTGCAGGAGGAGGAGAGGTAAGCACCCTCGTAACAGTTTGGAACCTCTGGCTCTGCGGAGGGACTTCGTTTCCCTCTGTTTTTTTTTTATTGCTTAGATGGGTGGACGAGCTCACAGCCCACCTGGTGTTAAGTGGTTACTGGAGCCCATAGACATTTACAACGTAAATGCGCCACCCACCTTGAGATATAAGTTCTAAAATCTTAGTATAGTTACAACGGCTGCCCTATCCTTCAAACTGAAACGCATTACTGCTTCTGCTGTATTTTGTACTGTATGTTCCATGGGGAGTGCTCTGATGAATTGTTTGAGATGATACCGACATCTCGCTTTTACCATCGCACCGCTCGCCACCGGAGTAGAGTTCATCCATACTACCTGGAGCCACTGCGTTCATGCACAGTGCGTTTCCAGAGGTATTTTTGCCACGTACCATCCGGCTTTGGAATGAGCTCCCCTCCACGGTGTTTCCCGAGCGCTATGACATGTCCTTCTTCAAACGAGGCTTGTGGAGAGTATTAAGCGGTAGGCAGCAGCTTGGCTTTGCGAAGTCCATGGGTGACGGTAACCACTCACCATCAGGTGGGCCGTGTGCTCGTCTGTGCCTACAAGGGCAATAAAAAAAACATATCGCAGAGGACAGTCGGTCCCCCGGTCGAGTCGAGGTCTCAAGCTGCTTTTGGTTAACAGCTGCCCCCCAACCCCTTATACCGGAACCTAACACTGCTTCGTGGCGACCTGTGCCGTAGTCCTAACAGTTACGATAACTGGTGTAACAGTCCCCTGGTATCAGTGGCAGGGGTCGCTGATGTCAAGTCTCCGGTGAGGCCTGTGGTCGCATTATGGCACCCAAGGGGAGGGGTGGGGGGGGGGGTGGCTGTAGCTAAAGCTTTGTTGGTTCGTCAAAATACGGAGCGCGCACTTGTAAGGGTGTTTAAATCAAAGGAATTTGTTGCAACCTTGATTTTCAAATTTTCAAATGCTTAAAAAAGTACCTATCGGATAATTGACGTCTTATTCGTTTTAAATATGTATTAATTAATTAAAATAGATAGGTCATTGAAGCCCATAGACGTGTCTACAACGTAAATACCGCCACCTAACTCGAGACACGAGTTGTAAGGTCTCAGTTTTAATAGTACAACGGCTGCCCCACCCTTCAAACCGAAACACATTACTGCTTCACGGCAGAAATAGGCAGGGTGGTGGTACCTACAAGTCCAGATTTTCCGTTTTAAAATTAAACTTCCATTAAACTGTGTACATTTTATGTTTATACTTTACATATTAATTTCATATCAACGTATAACATATATTTTTTACGCAATTAAGATGAGCTTCTCTTTATTGATGTCCATGGGCTCCCGTTCTCACTTGAATCCGGACGGGCCGTTAGTTCGTTTGACCGTTTGAGAAATAAAGAATTTTCATGTTCATTGTCCCGTGAATCTTTATCATTACCGATACGTTTTATTAATGGGAAGTACGTTTCTATTGTTTTCCAGAAAGCGTCGAGTACAAGACTGATGACTTAAATAGGTAATTTATTGATTAATAAATCATAGTCAATTATTATAATATTTTTTGATAAATAATTGTTTAAATATTCTGCACACCATAATCTTTGAAACTGGTGTTCTTTCTTAAAATTAACTGAATAAATAAATATTATTTTATTATGATATATCAATATTTAAAGATATTTCTATTAATTTCTTCTTTACTAAAACAACCTTAATTTCGAAAAATCTGTCAATCAGCGAGAAGACCGTGCTCCCAGCGGACGCGGTGTACACGCCGCGCGTCCCTGCGAGCCCCCCCGTCCCCCCGAGCGTGGCGGGTCCCCCCGGCCCCCCGGGCGCGGCGGTCCCCCGAGCGGCGACGGGGGGCCGGTACTCCCCGGGCGCGCTGCAGGTCCGGCGCGCGGCCGTGGTGCTGCAGCCGCCCACCACCGTGTGATCTGCACAGGTGTGACTGCACCATCGCTTGCACCCCCCTAACTGCCTCTTATAAATAATATCGCGCCGTTGTTTATTTTATTCATTTTTTTTATTGCTTAGGTTAGTGGACGAGCTCACAGCCCACCTGGTGTTAAGTGGTTACTGGAGCCCATAGACATCTATAGCGTAAATGCGCCATCCACCTTGTGATATAAGTTCTAAAGTATCAAGTATAGTTACAACGGCTACCCCACCCTTCAAACCGAAACGCATTATTGCTTCACGGCAGAAATAGGCAGGGTGGCGGTACCTACTCGTGCGGACCCACAAGAGGTCCTACCACCAGTACAAGAGGTCCTACACGAGTTTATATAAAACTCTCAGTAGATCAGTTCAGTATCTTAAGAAACTATAGCTGAGTGCGGACCTAGTTACAGATCGAGGGGTGAAAAGATATTTCAGTTAATACGCGACATTTATAATTGTAATTAAAGGTCCGTTTTATTTGATATTAGCATCAACAGTTCGATGTTTTATAATAGTTAAACTTTAATTATGCTTACTCCATTCAAATAGCCGGAGAACTTTCTTTTTCTTATGATATTTCTTCCATATTCTAAACCTTTATATGGCTCTTCTGTAAAGTTGCAAAAATTATCGCCCAAACCAAACAACTTTTCACTCCTCGATAAGATCGATTCGCAATTAATCGCTGGCAATTAATATGTCATCGAGGTATAGGCCGCGGCGGACACGCCTTTACTTCGGCGCTTCATAAAAATAATTACTCCCATTAGTTTCCACTTGATACAAGGTCTGACCAAACTTGCCGAAACAATTGCCAATCAGCCCTGTTAAGGCGAAGTTTTGTACGCAATCGTGCATAATATAATCATAAATGAAATAATTTGATGGGCTCTAGTTCGGACCGATATCAGTCTATATCAGTCTTAATCAACATTCATGTTTTATTAAATTATTTTCGCGATTCGATGTCTCATTGGTTTTGGCCTTAACAACAACAACACGCAGTCTACCACTATTGTCAGTGGCAGATTTACTTTCGCACATTTATCCACTGTCAATTAACATGTTGGTGCTAACAGTGAAGTTTATTTCGTCTAAACAAATTACTCCACGAAATTGAATAAATTGCTCATTAAGGGGATATCACACACGCACAAATAACAATTACCCGTGTGAGTGTGTGTGCGAATGTGTGTGTGTATGTTTCTCTCTCTCTCTCTCTCCCTCTCTGTGTGCGTGTGTGTGTGTATGTTTCTCTTTCTCTCTGAGTGTGTGTGTTTGTTTCTCTTTCTCTCTGAGTGTGTGTGTTTGTGTGTTTCTCTCTTTTCTGTGTGTGTGTGTGTGTGTGTGTGTGTGTGTGTGCGTGTGTGTGTGCACCGTCATCTGCTGGTAGCGTTTTTACTGAAAGAGCTAAACATATTTGAGAAAACTATGATCAATGATAACAATTTACATCCCCACGATTCTATCTTAATTATTTTAATGCTAAATTGTGCAGCTACCAAACATACACACACGAATATGTTGTTAAACATGAATAATTACATTATACAATCATTCGATTCCAGATGAGTAATTATTCAAAATTCAACTTAAACTAACCTGACTGTGTACTAACATGATTCGCACGTTTATTCCGCACGGCACTACAATCGCGTGTTAATTGATAGTTATTTAACACAAGTACTTCGAAAGTAATAAAATTGGAACCAACCGTTTTTATTTCCCCTCGATACTTCAGCTACGATCATTTCTTTTTTTAAAACATTGTTAACGTCATTTAAATGTGGGCAATTAACTATAGACAGAGACTTGGCATTACTGACGTCTGTCCTAAAAGAGAAAAAAAAGCAATAAATCACATAATATAATTTTCGTTTCGTAGGCAGCACTTTCGTCGCTGGAAAAACAAGCCAAAGATAACGTGTACGCGGTACTAGATCCGCATATACAATACGAAATAACAATAAACAAGCTCGGAGAACCGCCGAGGCATTTGTCTCTATCGAAACCTCTGAATCACCAAAGATCGCAGCACGCTTTCGATCCAAATAATGAAACTAAAGAGATCAACAATAACATCTCCGAGACGAGATTCAGCACGTTCAAACCACAACACAGAATCCATACAAGGGACAGACAGAATAATAACAATCAAATCAGCAAAACAAATCACGACGTTGAATATTCAAAGGATCCAAAGTTTGGATTCGAACGAGGGAACAGCTGTGTAGATGACTTCAATCCAGACAACGGAACAAGAAATTCATATAATCGGTCCCGGGAGCGAAACAGCTCAGGACGGAGACCCGTTACGATGCAAAAGAATCGCGGATCGTTCGTTAGAGATTCGAAACGAACGTCCACCCGTAGCTGGATCTTCGATACCGCTGAAGATAGAAAAGGGAACGAAGAGTTCTTCGATGAACTAGAAAAAGCTGAAAGGAAACACGATAAGGTCACGAATGCGGAAGACTGTGTGCCGCGACCTGGTAAAGTCAAGGAGATCGCTTCGAAGTTCAACAGGAGCAGCCTAGAGAGCAGACCGTTGGGCTTACAGAAGGAGAGACCGAAGCCGTTACAAAGCTACGGGTACCAAGCTTATCTGGACCACGTCTTCCCGGATGCAGTCGAAATATGAGAGAAGCAAACAAAGTGAGATCTCCGTTTAATCTGCGACGTTAAATATAATGTACTTATTAATATTTACAAATCTTTTACCGCTGTACTTATTTATTAGTGATGCATGCCATACTCTTGTTCACATTTAGTGTTAGTGTTGTAGTAGTTCTAGATCGTTCGCGAGCCGCGTGCGATGAACGTAATGTCGGCGAAAATATGAGGCCGTAAGTGCAAAAGTGGCCTAACTCACAACTTTTCAGTATCATGTTTATAATTATGCATATTGCAATTTGTTTAAAATATAATAAATTTAGATGCAAAACCCATAGATAACAGATGGTTTTGTAAACATAATTTTTGCGCGTATTGTTTTTTTGCCTACTCAAATTCAAATTCATGAAAACTTAAACCTCATTGCTCCATAATAGTTTTGGTAAGCTTAGGCCACTTTTGCGCTGACGGCCTCATATATCGTTGCATTTATGCATTACGTAGATAATAGCTTTGGAATCATTAGGACTTTTTTACTACGGGCACATGAAGTTACTGTTACGATAAATAATCAAGTCGTTTAATGTATTTCTGGAAAATTAAATTTTAAAAATCTTTACTATTGTATATTTTATTCGTTTAGCACTAGTCTAATATGCGTTAGTAAGAACTCGACTGTCGGTCAGTAGAGCAAAGTTAACTACAAACATTTTTGAATAATTTCTTCTATACGTATTTAATAATTAAAATCCATTTTTAAATCTAATAAATTATAATTCAAAACAAAAAAATGTAGTTTGTAGGCACCCACTCGATTGAACACCTAAAAATAAATCCACGAATTATGTCTGTTGCGCAAAAGTTAAATTTTTTAAGTTTAGTTTTTTGTATTGTTGAAGATTTTAACAGTATTAAAAAATAAATAAAAATGAAGGAACAAAAAAAAAAAGATACCAATTTTTTTATCATTACCAAATCTGTTTTATTTCTCGTCAACTCGCGGTTCCGTTAACCGAAACGCGTCACGACTCGCGACCGACGCGACGCCGGCAGTCGCTAGCTCAGTGACCGAACGACGTGAGCCCCTGGCACTAGCTCGCTCGCGTACGACAATCACAACACGATACTCCGATTAAAACGCGCGCAAACTCCCGATAACACGCTAGTGCTGTCGTCCGAGCTTCACCTCCAACGATGTCCGCTTATTTATTTCTATTACTAATCAGCCCAGTAATAACGGCCCAAATTAACTACACATTGCCCGTATTCAGAGCGAAGGACACGTGCAAAGGTTTATGTGTCAGTAAGTGTTGTCCTAAAAGCGCGGTGTACCACAGTCTGCCATCGAATAAATACAGATGTGGCCCGCCAATCGGAAACGATGTAAACTTGTTGTCTCACACGAAACAGCCACTGCACAAAATGCAGTACGTTGTGAAATCAGTGGACTTGTTTGAGACATTTACAGTGATCGAAGGAGTCGCCTGCGGGAAGAAATACTTGTCGAACCACAAATTCTTTCTACAAACTGTGAGTATTCAAAAGTCACCTTATTCTTGCCCTTACCCCAAATCGCTGTAGCAATTCCTTTAATCATGCTGCATAGGGCTTTGACATCAACCCTCCTTGAGATATAGGTATCTCCATAAGTATATCCATTGCAACATGCCATAGGAAGGGACGTTTTATGTTTCTTTTTTGGTGTTTCGATAGCTTTCTTAGCGATAACCATTTTTGATTCTATAATTTGTATTTTATCTTTACAAATTTTTGCATTAAAATTTAAATATCCAATACTAAAACGATAATACATATATAGCTTTTTATAAGTTTCATTTTGATTTAATTTAATAAATATTTAAAAGATATAAAAATTCCAAATTCAATCACTATTTTAATACGATTTCCTGAATAAATTTTAATAATTTATTTTAATATTACATAAGATATTAAAACGTCACTTTAGTAAATAGGTTCGATTTGAGAAATTTATTTAGGTATCGAATTGCCTATTTTAATGGATAATGTTTGAAAACTGGGACGCCGCTAATACATACCTATAGAAATTACATTATTTTATTATTATCGAAATCTGAAAGCATACAGCCCATCTGATGGTTAATGGGATGGCCGACCCGGAACAAATTTGTGTTAGAATCGGTCGCGACAAAGGCTATTGACCTAACTGCCTATTATAAATGAATACGTACCGTGATTGTATCCGTTAGGAACACCACAGATCAAATCAATTAAACAACAACCACGAGGAATCATCGCTTGATATATTTTACTGCTTTAATTGAATTAAATTGGTCCGGACATTCTCACAACTCACTCGGCGCTAAGTGGTTAACGAAATTCATAGTTATGATAAGTTGAATGTCACACGTTACGCATGTCACGCGATGTCGCGTTCAGTAGTAGGCAGTTTCGCTGCATACATTATTTGGCTAACGTCTATGAGTGACCACTTATCGTCTGGTGTGCCGTACGATCATCTGCCTTCAATCCCAATAAAAAACATAGTACCCGTTGAATAAATAAACATGATTTTTTATTGTAAATCCATACATCGGTCGTAATTCATTATAGGTTTTGTATTCAAATACCAAGTAAATCTCTACGGTAACAAATTAATTCAATACATAAAAATAAATACGGTTATGTCCCTTTGCGGGTATTAGAAGCATTTTTTGACGTAATGATATAACAAATTGATTTCTGTTTAAATTACATACGTACAAAGCTACGTATAAATCCATAACAATATTTGCCATGTCAATTTGTGAACGCACAAAAACCAAATACGGACTAAACTGGTTTGTGTCATTGAAAATCTCAAATAAACTGTGTATAATTTTCAATTAGTTCAGGAGACCTTTTAGACTTTATATAACAGATGTCTTTATCATATGAACTTGTTGTTGTCTGAAATAAAATAAATCATTCATTCATTTAGAGAAAATGGGTGAACGAGCTCCATTTTTACCTGATGATAAGCGGTTACGAGAGCTAAAAGTAAAAATAAGTTGAGTAATGTTTGCGATTTTAGATCAGGTAACGCGAGTTTCATGCTCAATCAAATGCTACCTGTAAAGATACCACCAACGTACTATCTATCTATCTATTTTTACTGGTGGTAGGATCTCTTGTGAGTCCGCGCGGGTAGGCACCACCGACCTGTCTATTTCTGCCGTGAAGCAGTAATGCGTTTCGGTTTGAAGGGTGGGGCAGCTGTTGTGACTATACTTGAAACCTTAAGACTTATATCTCAAAGTGGGTCGCGCATTTACGTTGTAGATGTCTATGGGCTCCAATAACCACTCAACACCAGGTAGGCTGTGAGCTTGTCCGCACATCTAAGAAATAAAAAATAGAAACTATCAGGAAGTAGCATAGTAAGCGGATTGTGCTACTGTATATGGACGATAAGGAAGTTTTAGCCAAAGCCATTATAACCTTTAAACTACTGAAATTCCGATTAAACGAACACTATATAACATAATTGAAACATACATCAATTTTAATTCGGTGCTATCGGCTGTAATAATTTTCACTAACAACTGATATGAAAACAGATGGCCACATACGCTACGAATGATATGTCCATTTTATTGATGTGAGTAGGCAAAAAAATACTCCTATTGTAATAACTAAGAGGCTGCGAAAAGGATATGAAAATAATTTAATCGATTTCATTCGCCAAGCATTCCGGCTCGAAGGATGCAATTTTAGATGTACAAAACTGCCCTCGTGTCTGAAGATGAGTAGTGGCATTTACATTGGGATGTCGGCTCGGATAAACACTTAATGCTAGACGAACCCTGAGTTCGTTTAAACTTAAAAAAAGTTTACAATTGGGCATCAACAACTTTTTTTATTTCTTAGATTTAAGGTGTTTTTATTCTAGCTGAAATTAGTTTTTAAGTAGTATAAGAGTAAGTAAGTATAAGACCTCAGCTATTGAATTTACTACTCAAACCATCTGCGCCATCAGTTAACAAAAGTATAATATAATCCTTATTTATTAACCATGTCATTAATTCGTATCTAAATTTACAAATCTCAGGCTATCGCTTATCTTAGGTCAACTGGTGGTGAGAGCCATAAAAAGTGCAAAAAATGTTACTAAAATTACCTCGACTCGACTGAGGATCAACATCGAGTGACCTTGATTACAGTTTTCCCTAAAAAAATTGAGTGGAATCAAGGAAGTTTCGAGGTCTCTTTTTTTCTCCCTACCTATGCTGATAGCCTTGAGAGGCCACTTCAGCTTTACCCTAGCGTGTAGGTGAGCCCTCGGGGCTCAAACCGGAAGTGTTGCTAGCACTGGTCATAGCAAGAGCAGTGCTTCGCAGAATCTACCACCGAATCGGAAACGCGA